CACACACACACACACACACACACACACACTATATCTGTGGCTGTTTAGCTGTCCTCGCTCATTCAGTAGCATGACATTGATTTCATTTTAAGCGTTCTTGCTCCTGAAATCTTTCCTTTTTACTAGAAACAGTATGTCTTCATTTCTTGATTCTGTGTTACTCTTTACATTACTCTTGTAAAGGTTTTTTTAGCCTTATTATGTGTTGGATTTCCCTTGCGTCAAATAGACCGCGTGATTCTCAAAGTGGAGTCAGTAGCACTATGACAGGGGGTTCGAGAAATAATTTGCTTTAAAATAATAAAAATGTGCTGTATCATTTAAAAGTGCACATCTACGGATGGGGACGCTTCGTGCCTATAAAACAAGCATATACAGTATTGTCCATTAATCCCACCCACGTTAGCTTTGGGCCAATAAAAACTACAGGCCTGTGACACATCACGTCACTCCGTCATGAATCAGCCACTTGACTCAGGGTGTAACGAACCGGTCCTGCCGCTGGCTTAGCTTGGCTAATTAGCCTGCTCGCTAGCTGGTGAGCATGGAGAAATATTCGAGTCAGTCCACATCGCCCAGTGCCGCTAAACGCCCAAACTAGCTAAATTGAGAAGACAATACGACAGTTATATTGAGTTTGTTCTTATTGAGAACGGCGAGAATGCGTCATGACTCAGGTGTCAGGACTCAGGTGCTAGTGAACGAAGCCATGAAGGGCCAGGGTAAAGAGACATCATTGAAACTAGAGATTGAGACCATAAACTCATGTTTACAATGTTTACTGAGGGAATAAATCAAGTGAGAAGTAGAGTCATTTTCTCATAGACTTCTACAGTATATGATCAGACTTCTTTTTGCAACCGGAGGAGTTGCCCCCTGATGGCCAGTAGAAAGAATGCAAGTTTAAGACACTTCTGCATTGGCTTCACTTTTCAGAACCGGAGGTTGCCACCTGTGTTAACCTGATTTAAATAGAATTTTGTATTTTAGTAAGTATTTAGGTGGAAAAGTTTCAGGATAGAAATAGTTCCAATGGCATCTGAGAGTACAGATTGCAGTAAGCATAGGCTTAGGTGGTATTGCAATAATGAGGGGTCCTCGGAAAATCTTCTCCCCTGTAAGGGTTCCTTAGCCCCAAAAAGTTTGAGAACCTCTGAAATAGACCATATGACTATCGTTGGGGTTGAACTGGCCTTATCGCCCAACATCAGAGCTCAAATGTGCAGAGCCTTCTGATTCCGAACTAAAAAAACGAATGCCATACTCACGTCGTAGTAGTGACCCTTCATGCCGCAGCGCTCGCACCGCTTGTACCAGTACCGTTTCTCGCTGCAGGAATTGTAGAGGTGTCCCGGCAGGCCGCAGTTGTTGCAGTGCTTATTGGGACAACCAACGGCCATGTGGCCTGAATTGCCACAAAGAAAGCAGGGTGCTAACTTCTGCACCACACACACACACACACACACACACACACACACACACACACACACAC